GGTGTGTGTTTTTCCCTTGAACCTAATGTCCTACTGCATGCGTCCACTTCCAACCTTGAGTGAATTATGTATCTGGCAGATTTGCAATGGATGACAAAGGCCACTGGTAATTATGATAATGACAGGACATCACAAAAGAAAATCCATTTGAAATGGGGCTATAACTGAATGCAAAGAACATGTCCTTCACACATGACTTGTAGAAAGAACAATAACAACCGCCACCTTTTACCAAGAGTGTGCGGTCAGAAACTACCTGAAACCCATTGTAAACTGTCGTTGTCATTCATCAGTGTCTTGTGAAACAATTGCCTGTATGTTGTCCTAAAGGAAGCCTGAGGTTGAACATATCTTCTTCATATCGTTCACTGCCTGACAAATAATGGCTCCCTGCCAAGAGAAACTCAATGAGACCACAATCAATATACCGCTACAAGGTGTGTGCACCTTCAAATACACACACTTACACACCACACAGGCGGCGGATGATGTACGATTACCTGGAGCACATAACAATCAGCTGAATGCTCATGCAGTATGCACACACTGTACTGCATGTATGCAAACACACAGAGACATGCACATTGAAAGACACTTAACATGCAAATTCTTTTTACAACAGGGACAGCACTCCATTGTTCATCTGGACGAAGGGGGGGGGGCGCAGATAGATGGATAAATAGCTCTCTAGACATCTACCGTGGACCTCAATTGATAGGATTTTGCATATGGCAGCAGCAGTAGGACGGGGAATACCACCACAAAATAATGTTTTTTCACTCTCTGATCAATTTTTAATTTGGCCCGGGCAGCCGAGCCCTTGGCGGGCCGGGCCCCGGTAATTATGGTGGGTTATTGACAGCTGCCTTCCCGCGGGATGCTATTTAAAAGAGGTTTAACCCCAGAGCAAGTCCAGGCCCCACACCCGCCTTTGAAGATGTCAAGTGCATTGATCTAAGCCGCGGGATGTGCTGGGACCTTCCCACCTGGAGGTGTGTGTGTGGCTGTGTGTGTGTGGATTGCTCGCAGGGCTGCTTTTACATGGCCAGGGCAGGAGGGTGCATCTTTTGACCTCTACGCAGACACACACACACACACACACACACACACACACACACACACACACACACACACACACACACACACACACACACACACACACACACACACACACACACAGAAACCATCCTCTGGCTAAACCTGGCTGGCTGGAAAGAAGGAAACCTTGTCTAGCCGCTGTAGCCACCTGATGCCCTCGGAGAGGTTGCACACGCAGCGTATGTACAATGTTGTAGCTGGTCTACACACTCGCTCACATGCAGGTTAACTCACAGCTCGGGGGGGAATTAGAAGGAACTAATGAGAAAGGAGGAGGAGAAAGAAAGTGGTGATTGGAAAGCGAGCGAGAGATACCCTCACAGCAGGCAGGGCCATGACACAACGCAGTCAGATGCCAGAGCGTGCTGAGGTTGAAGAAGAAGAGAGGAGGAGGAGGAGGAGGAGGGTGGGCAGCATGACAGAAATTAAAAGAGGATTTCTGTGTTTAATAGTTTGACTGCTTTGCTGCCCCCTTTCAGCCTCCCATTGGCATTCGAGAAAGATACAACCCCCACTCCCCCCTAGGCTTTCAACACACTTTTGAAAGCACCACAATTTTCATTTTCAGTGGGTCTCCGGTGTCGAGCCAGACTCACTAAGATAGACAGAGAAAGAAACAGGGAGAGAGAGGGGGAGGGGGGAGAAGGAGGGGCATTCCAGGGATTATAGCTCTATTTATATTAGTCGTTTCTAAATTGATTAAGTAGTTCTTCGAGTTGCTTATAGATGTGGTTGAAATCTGAATGTGTGTATACATATATTCAGCGAACGCTTCGGAGAGCTGTCGGGGTTGAGACTGTGGATGAAGTCATTTATTTATTTTGAAAAAGAGCTTAAATAAGAAACAAGACATTGACTTTTGACCATGTGAAAAAAAATACAGCACCACCTGAACTTGACCTGAACTGAACTGAACTGACCAACTCTGGAAATCTTAACTATAGCTGACAAGGAGTATTTTGTTTTACTCTACAAAACCAAAAGATGGCGACTGCAGGAAAATGATTAACCACTCCATAGATCCAAACCACGCTCTGCAATTATAATATTATGGCCCCAAACCTCTACCAGACCATAGGACAACATGGAAACATGCTCAATGCAATGGACAATTTTGAGTAAAGGACACATTTTTAGAGAATATTTTTGTACAAATAGCTCATGCGAGATCTGCAGAAACCCAAAGAGAGTGCTCGTACTGGCTTACAGGAGGATGCCGTCTCATGTGTTCTTAGACCGCTACCATTTTTAATAGAGCACTGCTACGGTAAGGAACATTTTACAAGTATCTTTTGTCAAAAACAATATCTGTTGTTGCATATCTATTGAACCTGCGCCAGTCTTCTTTCTGTAGAGAGATTGTGTGTTTAGCCCAAAGTAGCGCTGAGCTACGAACGTTTCGACTGGCTTCGTAGTCCAATGCTCGTCATATGAGTTATGATATTTGGTCATTCGGTTGTCGGTTGCGTTCGGAACATGTAAATATAGCATGCATATCCTTGCAGCCCCGGTTCTGATGGTTAATTTGATGTGCAACATCACTCTATTCTTTTGCGATTAGTTTATGGTAAGACAACGTTAACTTGATGATGATTCGAAGTAAAAGTAAAGTAAAAGGACTAAGGTAGCAGGAAATGATGGCTTCCTGCTTCTCAACTATGTTACGTCATGAACAGATAAGGGAAAGAAGTAGTAGAAAGTCCTACTCTCAGTCCTACAGCTACTATAACTAATCATCCCACCTATCAATATCCCCTCTTTCCTCAATTATTCCAACTGTACTCCACTGTCTCTCTCTCTCTCTCTCTCTCATCCAAACTCCACAGAACCCACCCTCCACCTCCGCCATCTCATCTCAGTCTCAGGATGCAGAGCAGTGACAGGGCCAGAAGGTAATGATACAGCTGCCATGATGCAACAAGCAGACCCGTCGACTGTCAGGAATTGAAATCATGAAGGAATAAGCTGTCATTAAGAGACCCTCTCCCAGTAGTGGAGCTGTCAGACGCCCGCCTGCTGCCAATTCTCTCTCCCCCTCTTTCTTTCTCGTTGTCCCGCTATACTACAGTTTCTCCTCTGCCACTCCCTCCTCCTCATTTCTCCTGTCCACCAATAATAACCTTTCATTGTCTCTGCCTCTCCTGCTCCATCTTGTATTCTTCTTTTCCGCCTCTTTGGTTGACGGTCCTCTCACCTGATCCCTGTTAACCCGGTTTCCTCGGGCTGCACAGGTTTTTTGCCAACATATTTTAGACTCATCTTCTACATATACATTCTGACAGTTTATTAGTGCGTCGTCATTGTAATTCATGTATTTTGTAAAGCCACAAGCTCCCCCCATATGTACAGAATGCACTCCGGTTGACCCTTTGCTGCACGCTTTGAATTTCCAATCAAGTTTTCACGAGTAACTTTACATGAGCCGCACTCGAGGCAACTGACTGTCGCCAAGAAACATTCGTGGCAATTGGAGCCTAATCTAAAAAAAGTTTACACCAATTTGAAGCACTGAGCTAAATGTGTAAATCTCAAATAAGGTGTAATTGTCATTTTCCTGAGCTGTCAATCATTGGGATGTATAGTACCTGTAACTTTTGAACATTGCACTTAAAAATGACATCCAAACAAATCAGACATAATAAACCACAAACTTGCCTGGATGATGATTTGTCAGGTAGTAACAACACGATTCTTTGTTTACTATGATGAATGAGCAACACTCGCGCCACGCACACACACACACACACACACACACCGTGTTCTCTAAATCCAGGCCGTCACTTTGTCTTTTTACAGTGCAAGCCTGCCTCCTCGCCGTGTAAGACCAGCGAGGTAACTATAATTCAAAGGCGGCGGGTAGTCGAGTCACCCCGTAAGCACACACTAGGCCACGCACGCAACACAAACCTCCCCCGTTGTGGTACGCAGCAGGAGTGGGCTTTGCACAGCAGTCAAAGTCTTTATGGCATTCAGATGGACGAAACGGGGGAAACAAGGGGAGACGGGGAAGCGGGATCTCCCTCAAATCAGGTTGAAGAGCAGGCCGGTGAAATTACGCAGGTAGTGTAATGAGCACAGAGATGGGGATGAAAATAATAAAGACAGGCCGAGCTACCTTCTGCTTGCTGACTTACAGATAGTGGGAGAAGACTAATCTATGTTTTACATTTATTAATTCACTCATGGTACAAAGGACTACGTAGGACTCGCACATCATACGTAAATGTTTCCTCATACAGTAATGATCAGATAGAAGAACATGCTTCATATCCAGTTTGAGGAGTGTGAGTTAATAATATCATTCAACACTATGTTTGCATCTGTAAATAGATGTCTGATTGTTATATTTACTGTTATTATATGATGTCCAGGGTACAGAAAGTCTTCAGCAGGATGTCCTCTCTCATGTGAGGACGAGACAACGTTTTCCTTCTTCACACACAAGTTCATTGTACACAATATATTCTAAGCGTGAGCTATGAAAGCGCACAGCAACTGATCCAGTCGAATACAAAGAAATTAATACAACAACACTCTGCTATCCGACTATGCCGCAACTCCTTCCACAGCCCCCAAAATATCCAAGCATCTTTTTCAAATAAACAGTTTGGCAACAACAATATCCGACCAGGCTAACCACAGGCGGTGGTGCCAACGACCACATGATGAACACACTGCAGGACTTCTTCACTCTGCAGACCCATAAAAATACCAACCGTGCCAAAGCTGGGTGACAGTTTATACTCATTGCAAAAGAAAGAAATAGAAGAAAAAGAAGTAAAATATTGAGAACCAACTGCACAATACATTTTTTACATGCAATGTTCTCGTGGCACTCAGCGTACCCTCCATATGAAACACCCGACGGTATGGACTTCTTCGTCTTTTGGTGTACCTCCTACCTCTACGGCTCTGGTGATGAAGGGGATTTGTGTCCCTGAGTCCAGGTCCTGGTTGATGATGAGCCTACGTGCCCACTGACCGGCCCGCACCACACCACTGCCCTGGATCAGCACCAGCAGCTTCGAAGGGTTGGATAAGGCATCTGGGCTCAAGTAGATGAAAGTGGTGGCTTCATCTTCGGTAGCATCCATCTAAAGGTTCAGAATAGCACATGGTGCAGTGTCACTAACAGACAACTAGAATTCAGTATGTTTCTTCCCACTAGTTTAAGGAGGAACAGCCTTCTCCTCTGTGGTGTTTACAATTGTAAATGCTAATAAGCATCATACTAATTATCAATAATCATGATTAAAAACACTTTATTTGATTAAAACTGAAAGGAACACAGACGAAAAAGAGAGCTTCAGTTGGTGAGTGTTTTTGAGCGTGCATGTGCTCCGGCCACATCCCATACGTCTTTGCGTCCCTCCCAAGTATGCCTGGAGGAATCTCAAAGGAGACCAACACTGTCCATAAAAACCATGGGTGGCAGCTGCAAGAACTTAATCCAAGCAGACAAAGAGAGCCAAGTGGGGGAGAAAATCTACCCCTTTATTCTCTTGTGCTCCCTCATTCCCTCTCCCTATACTTGGCCGTGGTTAATCTTCTTAAAATCTGCGGTCACAAGTTCAATGCCACGCAGGTGGACAGAGACCCACCACTGACACATGAAAACACACACACACACACACACACACACACACACGCAATAGACATGCAGGCGGGTGGGCAGCAGAAAAGCAGAACAGAGCAATTTTCCAGGGGGAATAATGAGATAAATAGGGCAAGCAGATAAACCCAGTAAAAGTGCATGGAGGCTAATGAAAGGCGCTGGAGTCCCCGGCTTGGTGATTCATAGCCACTGTTAGCGCTGGAGCTAACTCTGCTGCGCTTCTCAACACCACCTCTGCCGACATCCCCATAAACGCGGTCTGAAAATGATCCCAACTTTTTTAACAGAGGAAGAAGCCGGCACGGAGGGGTAAAGGGGCAGAAGGGAGGGGGGGAGACAAACATGCTTCCGACAACAAATAAAAAAGGGATCATGCGTGTGCTTTGAGCCTGGATGAGCTGGGCAAAGAATAACTCAGTGATGGCGGAGTAGAAAGTCCCCTTCAGCACGAATGAATGCAAAACAGATTAAGCATCAGCATGCTGCGCCTCTGCGCCTTTGAAATGACACGTCACAATACAGTTAATTTGTTGAGGAGACACTTTTGCACAAAGGATGTGGGCAGAGGAGGGGCTAAAAGAAAGAGAGGCAGTAAGAGAGAAAGTGAGTGGGACAAAGACTGATGGAGAACGGGGAGAGCTGACTCCTCACAATCCCCTTTTCTGTATTTTGTTTTTTTTTAACAGGACACTCAGATATCATAATCACACACTGAAGCCTAAGCATTTACGCCAATTTTCATATTTAATACTCCGTTTAATCTTCAAGGGCATAATTCAACGGAGAAAAGGCCTCTTTTCACTCTGGTACTTACTGGCAGGATGGCTTTAGTCATGTTGCACTTTTTCTCCAAAAGCTCGTAAACATACTGAGTGATGATCTGGAGAGAGAGAAAAACAACCACACACACCGTCAGATTACATTGATAATACAGTCTAATGCAATTAATATTTTTACATTGCTGTTGATACAAATCCATCTAACAAAAGCCAAATAAACTATTTATGTATGTGTGAGCAAGTAATAGCAACCTCCATCACGAGTGCAAAGAGAATACAAAATACTATTCAGAACCCTTGTTTGCCCTCTGGTACAAGTGTGTGTGTGTGTGTGTGTGTGTGTGTGTGTGTGTGTGTGTGTGTGTACATGAGCCACTTGAAAGAGTCTGGCTCGTACTGCGTTAGCTTTGTGTGTGCGTGCATGAATCACAGTGCAGTAAGAGTGTTGAGGTTGTAAGTGCCAGGAGAGGAAATCTCCTGTACAAGCGAAGGGCTGATGTAAGTTATGTTTATCCCCGCAGCCACGGCACTAAAGAACCTTGTATACCGAATCATTCCAACCCCAGGCCAAGCCTTTCATGGTTCAGTGACATTAACAACTTTCTTCTCCATTTTCCTTATTTTCTCTTTCCTTCTGCCTCAGCTGAGATCACTTTGCGGAACAGATTTAGATTCTTGATCAGTTGTGAGAGGAAGACAGAGGAGCGGTGACAACAGACGACGGGGCGCACCGCCTCTGGCATCGAGATGCGCCGGAGCTGTTGTCGCTCCGGTGATGTTTCACAACCACGTGCGATGACAGACTCCCTATACATGTCACAACGACGGCTGGGTGGACCGCAGGGCGAGCTGAGCAACGCGCCCTCCTGTGCTGCGGTGACGCCTCACTTGGGTTGGCTTCTGAAGCTTCTGAAGCATCTGAAGCGTCAGGCTACGGCCACAATGAGAGACTGACCACCGGACGGACCCCAAACACAAACAAACATCAACCAGAGACTCAGCACTGCATGTGATGCTCAGATCACATTCAAACAGAGAGGAAACTGTACTAAGATGTAATGTTAACAGATCAATATATACAGTACCAGTCAAATGATTGGGTACACTTTCTCATTGAATTGAGAATACTCGTGATAGTCACAATAATCATGCACTTTCATCCTCAAATGCAATGCTAACTTGGTTTACAGCGTGCTAGAACATCACAAATATCAGTCTCGTGACAGCCAATCAAAGGTCAGCAGACGGAGCAAATGAAGTGATCGATTCTAGCGTTTGACCCTGGGAAGAGGAGAGGAGCCAAAACAACCCCGCCTCCTTCAAACGCACCAAACCTCCGACATCTAATTCACTAAAATGTCAGCCAGTCTGATGAAGACTAAAATGATTCCGGGCCTCAGTATGCTAGTGTGTAATGACATCAATAAACCTCACAGGAAATTTCATTTGCACTAGGTTATTTGTTCAGTGCCTCAGGTGGCGAGAACCATCTGATATAGAATAAGGGGAAAGACTAGGGAACAAAAGAAGAGAGAAAAGTGGGAAGAATGCAAGTTTCGCTGTGTGTAAATGCATTTCCACAGATATATTCTTATTTATGATCTACAGTAAGCTTCTAATAATAAGAGTTGAAAAAGGAACAATACCAGCATTCAACTCGATCATTTAGTTTGGGGGGGAGGAAATAGTATACAACTCCAAAACAACATAGGCACAGACAAAACACACACATAACTAACACAATCTCCTCCTGTGTGTGCCTCTGAGGACCATGTCTCTGCAGCTGATCAGTACCATAAGAAAAGCCTCCTTGTCACCTAATTACCAATGTGTTATTAGTGCTTTAATGAAATGCCTGCAGGAAGCGATGCTGAGTGTCTGCTGTGTCGACATCAGACGAGGGGAGGGTTTTTTCCACATAATATAAGACACACATAAAGAAGGGAAGGAAGGGTGGAGAAAGAAAGAAAAAAAATGCCTAAATCGATTCAAATCAATAGGTTGCATGGCCATAAAAATACAATGTACATCTTATCTGCTAAAAATATGTAATACATTTCAAGTTGACAAGATATGGCTGCAACACAGGCGGCAACTTTTGGTTCTGCAGTTCTTAAAATTGGCACTTTCCAGCCTCTCCAGCGAGGCTCGACCCCACCAGCTGCAAGAAGAAGTCTGACCGTATGAAAGTATGACCCTATTTCTCACTTGATTCATTACTCAGTACCATTGTAAACACAAGTTTATGGTCCTAATCTTTAGTTTCAGGTCTTCTTCATTACAGCATGATGTTCATCTAGTAAATTATGGTTCCTTTTAGGGTAAAATAGACCATAAAGCGGTGGGTGCTTCAGGCGGGTTAGTGTGATTCATCGGTCCCTGCTGCTACCAGAACTGTTTCCACGGCACTCATCTACTCTCCAAACATGGTAACTTCCATCCAAAACCACAAATGGCAACAGCCATAATGCAAGATTGCGGCGGCATAATTGCCAAACTCAAGGCTTCAAAACAGCAGCCCAAGAATCAATGCGCTGACTGCGTCTAGTTCTCATACACAGTCTGGACTGTGTAATGTGATCGAAGCCTTCAATAAGGTAAACCAAACAAAAAAACATTAAAAATGAAGTTTCAGTCGACTAAAGGACTAAAGGTGATGATGACAGCCAGGTGATGATGTACCTTCAAACAAAACAAAGCTTTCTACACTAGCGTGAGAGCGGCTGTCGGAGAGTCTCAAATAGACCTTCTGCAGCTGAGGTCACCTCTCTGTGTGTGTGTGTGTGTGCGTGTGTGGTTTGTTTGTGTGGGGGAAGTATTGTGGCGATGAAGCAAGGCGAGGGGGATCAGGCAGGAAGGAAGGGACTTCGAAGGGGGCTCAGTAGGCGGAAAGAAGGAAGACCAGACGGGGGACACGAAGAAGCGATCCCCAGGAACTAGAAGTTTGTGCCAGCTGCCACCGCGCTGAGCCGCCAGAAGAGAAGACGAGTTGAAGGAGGAGTGGATGGGGAGGGACCAGTAGAGTGCGACGCCCCCCCGATAAAAGGCCTTTACGTTGGCGGGCCGTGACGCCAACTGCTGGTCATCCCCGTGACTCTTCATTACTCTCACTCACACACACCAAGCCGAGCTGTTAATGAAGTACATTGTGGCTGCAGGTCGATACGTTAACAGCAAAGGTTAAAGTGGTCAACAACAATGAAGAATCCGAGGTAATTAAAGCGGAGGAGAGAAAGAAACCAGCAGTGTGAGAGGATTGTAAAACGGGACTAGATGTCGCTGTGCTAATTTTATTGGAAAATGTATAATCATGAATCAAACTATTTTTAAAAACCCATTTTTAGTCATCATAAAGTCACAGTTACCAAGATGTTTTAAGGCTTCCAGCTAGATTCACGTAGCTTAATGGTGGCGCCATGGAGCCCAACCGTTTCATCTGATTAAACTTTCTCAGCGTTGGTCATGAGAATAAAAAGGTACTTAAGACAGTAGCACAAACACAAGAAACTCATGTACAGACACACACACACACACCTCTTGTCTCTGTAGTCCAGAGCTCTCTCCGAAAGCCACTTAGCCATAGAAACCGGAGAGCGAGAAGAGGCATCAAAGCTGTTTATATAATGAAACTGAAAAGGCTGTTCCATGCCGTATCACTGACTGCACCCAGGAAAGCTTTCCTTCTTCTCCACAGAATAGAAGAGAGGAAGAAAAGGGGGGGGGAAAGAAGACAATCCCCCCGTAACCCCTCCCCGAACAATGCAGCACAACAGCGGCAGCGAGAGCAAAGCGTGCTCGGTACGAGAGACTGTGAAAATGAGAGAGAGCACGAGGCAACAGAAGGGTTGTTTATTTTAAGTCGGCCTTGTGTACCAACAAAAAGTGGTATTAAAATAGAGCCTATTGTTGTGAATGTGGGATCTGTCAGTCCGTGAGGGAAACACAGGGAGAGAGGCTGCTGTAATTCCCACGAGGTCTCTGTCATTCTTCTGTCAGAGGAGAGCGGGCTCTCCGGGGGAAGAGAAAGTTCTCTGACACAGACTGACAGGCAGACTGTTTACACTTAATGTGGATATCCCTCCCTCGCACCCACTCGCGGCTCTACTCATCCTAATGGCGTCGTAATGACCTCCTCGGGTGTCGGCTGCGAAGCCTGCGGAGGTCAAAGCAAAGAACTGCGCGCCACCCTCGGTGCCGGCGGTAACCACAGATGCCAGCGCTGGAACTCTCAGCCCTCCCGTCTTTTCTCTGACACCCGACTTGAACCCCGGCCCCCCGGTCCGATTTCCTTCCTTTTCATCCACCTCGGTCACTCCCTGAAGATATTTCTGTGCCGCGTCCTTTGTGTATCCCTCCTGGGTTCAACACTTTGTGAACGGCAAGATGACTCTTTAAAGTGGACTCATAAAGGTCTTTTGTTAATTAATAAGTTAAACAATTGGACTGAGACTTCCGAGGACACGCTGATCTCCTCCCTCCTCTTTCCTATCCCCCGCGGTGGGAATTCATGCCAACATCACTAACATTGCGTCTTCCCCGGAGTCTTTGTGCCGTCTCCTCTGAGAGGCTTCCACGGACGCGGCTGTATGTCGGCCACGGCCTTGTTGAAACCCACGGCTATTATCATTATTAGCATTAGTAACATTCATATTACTGATCAGATGTCTTGATTGACATCCACTGCTACCGTCTTTATTAATAGTTGTTGCATTATTAATGCTGACACCATGCTTTTCTTGTCATTGTTTTTCTAATATAGCAACTACCTTGAAACTCTGGTTAACCAGGAGGAATCCCACCACTCCTTCTCTTTTCTCCCCTTTAAAAGGGTCTTTTTGGGGGGGCTGATGATAGGGTGCACTGACAGAGGTTAACATATGTGTACAGATTGTAAAGTCCTCTGGGGCAAATTAGAGATTTGTGATGTTTGGCTAAACAAAATAAATTGGATTGAATTGAATTAAGGCCAAAACAGTCTTCTACTTCCTGTGGAAAAGCATACAGGCACAACATGATGGAATTATCTGAGGGCTTGACCCGCACGTACACACATATTTTACTGCTTTTGTTTGTTCGGAGTCCAAAGAATCCAAATAAATGC